GGTTACTTGGGGATTAAGTAATAAGGGTAGATTAACGATTAGGGTTTAGTTTAGTTTAGACGATGGCGGCAAATATACATACAGGAAGGAATATATATGGATGGGAGTTTACGTACGCTTTGGTGATTTGCTCATTAGTTCATAAGTTAGATAGAAACAAGCAAGGAATAATAATAATAACATATTTTTCATTTATATTAAAAGCCATTTTAGTTTCTAGCTAGCTAGCTAGCTTCACACCAAAGGATTAATCCACACGCAAGAAACGTGCACAAATCATATCTTGCAAAGTTTTGTCAATAATAGTCAGTGCGTTCCAAAAAGAATGTCATAATTCACTATTTAAAAATCACAGAAACTTTTGTTTATTTATACATTTTTTTTATTTGATAAAATAATATACTCCCTCCGTTCTCAAAAAGAGTTCCTACTTTAAAAAAGTGGAAAAATAAGGAAGTGTTAAATTGTAGTTGACTTCCAATTTTGCCCTTGATGTGATGGGTAAAAGTAAGATTTGATGGATATATTATTACAGAAAAAGTATGATGTGATAGGTATGGTATGAAAAAGTAAGGGGTAAAAGTGGTTTTTTAATAGAAAGTGGAAGTATTTTGTTGGAAGTGAAAAAAATGAAAGAGGAAGTGTTTTTGAGAACGGAGAGAGTATATATTTTTGTCACCTCTTGCTTTAAAGAATTTTTAACAAAGTATTACATATATAAATTTTATTTTTTATTATTTCTATGCCAATCTTTTTCGTGACATTATACTAGGGTGTGGGTGTTATTTCTATACCAATATTTAAATAGAAAAAATAGAAATTTTTTCTGTTTTGCATAATGTGTCAAAAATTTTAATTAGCATGGAGGGAGTAAAATTTTTCTTCGTACCAGATAACATTGCATGCTACTTTTTTAATTAGATAGTGTGCCCCAAAACTACAATGAGAAATGACAAAATTGTCCAATTTTAATAACTGGAGTACATTTAGCTAAATGGGATGCATGTGTTTTTAGCATCACCCTTAAATGGGCCACGAAATATAATTGATGGTGTACAAATTAATAAGGGAGAGTATTTGGGAGTACACAATATTTGTCTCATACTTATACTTTATCCCATAAAAAATCATTAGGGTAGGGTGTTGTGGTGCGTTAAGGACGAACCTATTTGGGGGTTTACCGAGGCTTAAAGGGTAGGAACTAAAAATCATCAATTTTACTAACGAGAGACAATTAAAGTCCAATGCAATATTATGCCATTAATTAGGTTCCAATAATGTTAAGTGTAGAAATAAAATATAGAACCAAAACAAGTGTTGTGAATAAATATGCTTAGTTTCTTACAAAAGCCAAAACACATTACATTAGTTTGCCAAAGTTCCATTGATATTGAAATGAATGGGTTGGAGTGAGTTTGGGCCAGGCCGGGCTAAGGTGAAGGGTTTACCAAATAGGGTTATGGAATAAAAATCATTATTTTTAAGAACGAAACATCAAAGATCGACTAAAAGGACTGCATTGGATTCACTAGTGTCAATGGTACCTAATGCCATGAATCGTATCACCATTAGTTTATTCTACCAAGGAAGCTATCATGGTCATTTTTATATTTGGGCCACTCATGAGCCTCAATCAAAGTCTTTAACACGGCGTAGGACATACCATTCTCTTACGGAGTATAGAGTTAAATTGATCAGTCAATGATCTATAAAATGGTGATGCAATTATATTGGTATTTCTCACAAGATGATTACAAGATAACAGTACAAGACAATACGTATATAGACACATATAATGAGAAGAACGAGGCCTAATTATATATCCTATCAAGAGCCCACAAGGAGAGAAAACAAAACAATACTCCCAAAGTCGGACCTCTTTCATGGATATTTAGTGCAAGCCTAAAATTTTTCCTTACAAATAACACAACCCTCCCAAATTAATTTCTTTTACGTAGTGTTTGGCAACTAGCATTTCATTTCAATTCATGCATTTTAATTCCAAAATTTGGAATCTTGAATTTCAAATGACAAGGGAAGGTGCATGGATTTTAAATTAAGCTTTGTTATGAATGTGAAGAATTTGACTCAAATCCAAATTCAAAAGTTTTAAGTGTCCCAAATATGGAATTTGAGCTAAATCCGGATTTGAAATCCAAATCCATGTTCCCAAACATACCATTACCGATTTTGGAAAATCTGGAAAATATCAATTCAGAATTTTAATTTTAATATCCTCCAGGAATATATATGAATCATGACTATATACTTTTCATCGGCAACAATAATGTGTACGGCAATCCAACCATATTCCGGTAGGCAAAATCATAAAGTTAAAAAAGATAAAACATCTTAAGCAAGAAAATACATCAATCCAAAGATAGTTTGATAAAAAACAGAAAACAAAGACGACGTTGATAAAACCAGAGGTAATGCATCCAAAGCGTTCAAATATCAAAATGCTCTTGTTCTTGTTCTTCCATGGTGCATTAATCCTCTAGCGGTACTGCAAAAAAAAGGAGAAGTTCAATGAAAAGGAGCTACTCTCAGCCTAAACTTCACTCGAAGTTTCTCACTACCAGTGGTTTTGTCACAAGACAGGCATGAGGTTGGGTTCTGGAACAAAAAGTAAGTAGTATTGACTATTGAGCACAAGAAAATTGACCCAAGTTCACCACTGAGCTTTACTGAGAAGAGCCGTAAAGAAGAAAACCCAAGGTTTCAAAAATGGTTATTCCAAAGTAGCATAAATCAAATCCAAGAAGCTGCATACACACCTTGATGAATCCAATTTCCTTGGCATTGTTGCGGAAGCACTGCCTGCAGCACATGATTCCATACTTTCTGATGATTGCATGAGGATTCCCGCAAACCCGGCTGCAAATTTACAACAAAATTCATTAAGCTGCCATCTAATCTACATGCACGTTACGATATAGAATCGCATACATCTTATACTTTGAAACCACAAGAAAAAGATAGAAATATCTAGTGCTCTGGCATAAAATGAAACAATGAAGCTGCCACATCAAACGATGACTCCAACGAGTATTACATCTCATAAATGTGCATCCAATAAAACTCAATCTGTAAAAAAGAAAAAAAGTGTAGACTTTTCTGCAAATTCATTCTCATTTTCAAGCACACAGAGCCATTTCATTATGCAATTGTTAAAAGGGCATAAATCAGTTTCAAAATGTCCATGCTCTGGGTATATGCAAAGAAATAAATGTTCAAAAGAAGCATTCTTTAACTTGAAAATGGCATATTTTCAATATGTATAATAAACACCATATATCTGAATGTATAGTATAGGAACTCAATCAAACAAATTGAGAAGGATGAATAACTGATAAATAAAACCTAAAATTTCTCCTGCTATACCAAATGACATCAGGATAATAGAAATTTCTTCAATTACAAATAGACAACTAGCTATATACAGAGTATGATAGAGTTGTATCGCGCTGCACACTAAAAATATCCCTGCGATTCAATATTAACTAAGTTGAAGATCTGAAAACAAATCTGGATACGCCGATTCCACACAGTACTTGCAACGCGACATCACGAATTCAAAGTGGATACATGAGAAGAAGCAGGGATGAATACATTTCTGAGTAAGATGAGAGCGGATGGAGAAAAAGGGAAAGGGGGATACCAGGCGCGGGAACCGGGGCCGTAGTTCTTCGGGTGAGCGTTCCAGATATTAGAGTGACCCATTCTCTTCTCCGCCTGACTCTCTTGGAGGCTTTCGGTCGCAGAGACGAAACAGAGCGGCGGCCGATGGAGAAAACCCTAAACACTGGGAAGGAAGGAGAGGCCCGGCACAGTTTATATTCGCTAGTATCGACTGATATGGGCTGGTGGTGTATTGTTTAGTCCTGAAATAAATGGGCCTTTTCGAGGAATACAAAACCTGTATAGCATAATGGATCGGGTGTAGATTGCAAAGGCGGCTCAAAGGGTGTGCAAGGTGTGCCATCACTTGAGCTTCCGAATTTTTAGCATATAATATTGTTAGATGTTCATTATTCTAATTATTTAATATTTTAAAATTTTATTTTTTGATTGTACGTGATGGTGGATTGTGTGAAAATTGACAATTGACATCATCTACTCATAATCCATTCACTCTCCATCTACTCTTTAATGGGTCATGCTAGGGTGCCCAAATGGTTGCTACCATGGTGCATTCATGCTTCGCACAGATGATACAGATGATAATCATCGGCGCAGCACAAATTCTAATCAGATGTGTGAAGTATGAGTGCACCCATGATAGCAACCATTTGAGGGCATCTTATCATTTTTTTTCTTTTATTCATCTATTGTCTTATACTTACTCTATCCAAAAATGTTTTTTTGTTCGTCAGGAAGTAATGTTCTCATTTCTTTTTTAACTTATTTTTTAGATGTAAATGTCAATGAAAATCTTCCATTCTAAACACTCACCAAGCCAAATTATACACCACCAAATTAAAGCAGGGGTATTCTTAGAAACTTGACATTTTTTCCTATTCCTAAATATGTATGTCAAGTCAACACGAAAAAAACATATTCGGGCGGAGAGAGTACATAACAGAGTATTATCTATCACAGTACCACATGATTCATCCGCCATCCGAAATTGAATGAATGCAAAGCGAATGAAAATAATAGTAATTTCTTTATTTCTAATATTATTCCAATAAATTATCATAAAGAAAAAGTTGTATAATAAAAATCTTTATTTTGTATATTTTAATGAAATTGCATATTTTAGTCTTGTTTGGGAAGATTTGTTTTATTTAAAAGAAAAAGCTTATGAAGAATTAAGACGATAGATATCAAAATTACTTTGCAAAGAGATGAAGAGAAGAGGATGATGAAGGTATCGAAAAGAAAATCTAGGAAGAAGCAAAGAGAATAAACTAATGAAGCAATGAAGAAACAACGTTTCCTATTAGCGTTTTGATCAATTTTTTAATAATATAAATACCAATAGATAACTTTTTTTGGATGGGAGTTGTTGCCAAACCGGGCAAATGGCCTGGTCTGATGTTTAGTAAGTACTCCCGAGTTAAAGTGCATTTCCTAGCCGCGGTTGGATAGTGGAATAGCTCGCAATGGCGTCGTCATCGTCGTCTTCAGTCCCCGTCGTCATCTACGAAGAAGAAGAAGAAGAACTGGTGATGGACGACGGCTCCGGATCGGGTTGGGTGGAGCCCCGAACCAGCTGCGATCACCTCGCTTCGTTGTCGTCGGATCTGGCACACATCCCCCACCCCGCCACTCCCTGCAGCAAGTTAGTCCACCTCTCTAAAAACCCTAACCAAAAAACCCCCAATTTCTCAAACTTCCTCTAATCCAATGGAAGTTCTGTTGCAGGTGCCAGCATCCGATGGAGAATTGGCTGTGCTTGAGCTGCAAGCAAGTCTTCTGCAGCCGTTTCGTTAACAAGCACATGGTGGATCACCATGAACAGACGCCGAATCACTCCGTGGCGCTTAGCTTCAGGTATGTATGTATGTATGTATGTATATATATATATATATATATATATGTTCCTCCCAGAAACAATTTCAATTCATCGATCCGTTCTTCTTATTCTTCTTTGGATGCAGTGATTTGTCGGTGTGGTGTTTCGTCTGCGATGCCTATTTGGATGCACAGGCCATTCCCACGCTGCGCACTGTTCATCAGACTGCTTATCTGCTCAAATTCGGCGAAGACCCTCCTCAATTGCCTAGTAATGATCAGTGTTTGCAGCTTGGAAATGAATGAATCCATTTTTTTTTGGGGGGGGGGGGGTTAAAGAAAATGGGTTTGCCATAAACATCATACCTGTTTTTTCCAATGCTAATGCTTATGCTGTGTTGCACACAAAGTATGTGTGCTTGATTTTGATTCTTTCGTTTCTAAATAATTCTCATGTGCACAATTTCCATATTCGAATCAATAAATTACTGTTGGAAAAGGCAAAAAACTTGTTCGTGCAAAAGGCAGAAAAGATTGTTTTTCAACAAGTGTGGAATTGAGTTGGGACATGTTTTGGCAGAAGAGAATATATATAAAAATAAAAAAATAAAGAGCAGATGACATTCCAAACTTCTCACTGTGAATGAAGAAATCTACAAGACTAGATAGTGTATCGATCTAAACAAAAGAATGTGAATAAAATGCAATGCAGTCAAGATGAATTACGGTTGACATGTTCTTGATTTTCACATCTCTGGGGCTTTTCTCCTTTCTTCTTCTTCGGCTTCAAGCCAAGCAGCCTAAACAATAAATTAAGTAATCATACTAATCAATGAAATTATAAAGATACGCAGGCCATAAACCATAATGTGTGTGTGTGTAAAGTTTACTTGGAAATAAGAAAGATTTGCATTCGAATGAGCAACTTGCCTTATCTCTCTGAAGTCTGGAGAGATGAGGGCGAATGGAGTTACCCAAGCTCAATCCACCCCACGCTTGCTGCAACTCTTTCTCCCTAGCTTCTTTGCGAGAAACCGAATGCCTAATCTGGGCATCATCTGATTCGCAGGCAGCAGCCACTTCCACGGTTTCCTTCCTCTCTAATGTACTACCACACTTGGGCTTCCTCACCAAGACATGATCCAGACTACCTTGTTCATTGCTCACCACAAGGGAACTTCTACTCACACTTGGCAGCTTAACTTCCTCAGTTGCTGCTTCTAGAGCAGCCATCTTCTCCTTCTCCAGCTTAGAGACATGCTTCACCAATATTTTGTCCAGCCCATCATCACAGTTGCCTCCTCCATGCTTTCTCCTCTGAGTTCTCATCAGGACACCTCCAATTGATGATGATGACTCTTGCATTTTCTTCATCTTTTCCAAACGGTGAATCGGCTTCACTAAAACCTTGTCCAGCGAGACTTTACTTTCATCCACTTCTGCATCTATGTTCTTGTTCTGCTCAATGTTTTCTTTCCCCAGTCTTTCTACACCTCCTCCCCCACCTGAATCTGGTATACAGAAGTTGCTATTCTTTTGTCTATCTTTTGCTTCTTGCACTTCTTTTTCGAGTTTCGAAACGTGCTTCACGAGGAATTTATCTAGGCTAGGAATCTCATCGGCCGCGTCTGATTTTTTATTGCCAACTGCCCCCTTACCATCCACTCTCTCCGAATTGGTTTTTGATTCTTTAATCTCTCTCTCCAGCTTTGAAGTATGTTTCACCAGTATACTCCCAAGATCAGGAACCTCAGAGAAAATCATATGACCACTTGACTTGCTTCCAATTGATGATGATGATGACTCTGAATGTTTTTCGATTTCCTTGCCGTATTTAGATGAAGGCTGATCTGAAAAATGGTGTCTGTCATCTTCTTCCTTATCTCCATTCCTTTTAGCTGTTTTGGCTTCTAGAACCTCCCTTTCGAGTCTTGTCAACCGCTTTACCAGAAACTTGTCCAGGCTCGGAAGTGGGGCCTCATGTTCATTTTGGGGTGGGCCTGCACTTGATGTATGATCCAATACTGCTTCCACCTTAGTATGCAGTCTCTGGTTTCCGGCTTCTTCAAGAGCCACATTTAGCCCACATGTGGCAACTATAGTAGCAAGAGACTCAAGTTCATCTTCTTGCAAACACCTCAGTCTTTCCACCATGATCTCTTCAATCTTCGTGATATTACATTTCCTTTGGTTTTCACAAGTAACCTCCGTCTCAGTTGCAGTATCGCATTCTTCATCTTTTGAAGAAGACTCTGAATTCTTTTCATCATTATCTGGGTTTTGACTGATTTTACGCAGCAGTTCTTTGAACTCATCTTTGTTCGTTGAAGGGCAATTCGCAAGTTTGATAAGGGCGGCTTTAACTGCAGATGCCACCTGCTTATCCACCTCAAATGCAGTTTCAAAAGATGTTCTAACGGTGTGCATGTTGGATCCTCCCACTCTTGATGTAGATGTTTCAATGCTGTACTGTTTCTGTGAAGAACCCGACGTATCATATAATATCACTCCAATCGATGTTGCTTCTTGAAAAGCTTCATCTGATGCTTTTTCTGCCTTCATTAAATGCTCTTCTGCTTGTTTAGTATCAATTCTGTATCCATACATTCAGGAGAACAGTTACAATCAAGAAGAGTCATATGTTATTATGCCAGTTCCTAGAGAAAAGAAGGTTAATTACATTTACCTCCCTGAGGTCTGGTAAAAACATTTAAAAAAAATACCTGGCAGCCTTAAGTATTCTACACCAAGATGCCTCAACCATGGCAACCTTTCGAGCCTCCATTGCTTTCTGTGCAGCCTCCCTCACTGCAATTTTCTCTCTCAGAACTCTTGAATAATGAGGGTTGGAATCACCCAGAGTCTCATCAAGTGTTGAACTCATACCATCTACTTCCTGTGTCACATTGTGTCAGTGTCAATCCCGCCCAGAAGATTACTATGCAAAGTGGTCAGATTCAGACAAAAAACGAAGATCGAAATGCATATTACTCACCTGCAGTAACTTTATTTTCCTCTTCAAATAAGAGTCCACCTTCTGCCGAGGGAACCAATTCAGAGGTGAAGTTTTTCTATGTGGAGGCTTCCTAATTTGTGACGCATTTTTATTCAAAGAAACCAAGTTTGAATATACACCTTCTTTCGCGCCCTTATTCTGCAAAAATCCGAAAGCAAAGAAAAATAACTGCAGTTAACGAATGTTTAACATCTGAATCCTTGCATAGCCTTATTCTACACATATCCGAAAGCAATGAAAAATAATTTAAGAAAACTACGCGATTTATGAAATTTTAACATCTGTCATTATGAAACGAGCAATTTGGCCGGAACTAGTAAACATTAAGGGGACTGTGAGATTGAAACCCTAGAAATTGGATCTGTTACCTTAGCATGTTTGGAAGTGGGGGCGGCAGAGGCAGTAGGGCTGCCGGAAGGAGATGGAGTCTGATTGCTGGGGATGACTATCTTCTTTTCGATGCAACCCATATCCAAGCAGCCGAGATCCATTTCCCCGTGAAATTGAACCCGGATCCGACAATCGGTGTCCGCCAAGGGCTTGATAGAGCTCGCAGTAAGTCAATGATATGATACTGCAATCGTTGATCCGGATCTGAGATTGAGAATCAAGTAAAACCAGAGCGAGAAAATAAAATCGATGAAGAGACTCTTTCTTGTGGTTAGGCTGATGAACGAAGAATAAGAAGAAAAGAAAAGTATTGTCAGGGATAGGGATGCTATTGGGGACGGGAAATGGCCGATTATTTTGAATGATGAAATGGGAACTATCCGTTATCAGCAATTTTTTCATTCCAACGGTTCTTTCTTTAAAAGTTTCCACTTTTTTAATATTTAAATCCGTTATACCATTAAAACTAATTAAGACTAGTGTTAATCCCATGCTTCGCACGGGCTCGTATACATTCTAAATTTTTGAGATTCTATAAATACGTAGTATAATGTTAGAGATGTACAGTGGCAACGAAGAAGAATGTCTTACACTGCCACATCAGCTCTTTCAGCTCATATCATGGCATAACAAGGCTAAAATGTTTTGCTTGGTGAGGCATGAGTGTGACACTCCAACCTTCTTTTTTTTTATTTTTTTTAAATAAATTTTTTAAAAATTTTTTATGAACAAAAATGTACAAGAAAGTAGGATAATTTTTTCTAAAATAAATAATAAAAATATTTTTTTATGTTCAAAAAACATTAAAAAAATGTAAAAAATGATGACTTGCCACCGTAGAACTTACCACTCTATTCATTTGTCACACGCTGACTGGACTATTTTTAATTGTTTAAAATGTTCTATGTCACTGTATGACATTCCATTTTTTCCTTGTCATTGTTGATGCTCTTATGACACCAACCAAATTGAGGCACCTACAGTGTTCTATTCGTAACATTGATGGTTCCTACCACCCTGAAACCCCCCGACCCATTGATCTCATCTCGCCCCCCACCCAGTCCCCCTACACTCTCCTAGATCGTAGATTTGGGACCCCAAATTGGCGATCTAGGGATGCAGGGGGTGGGGGCGGGGTGAAATTGATGTGTACAGGAGATCTAGGAGCGGTGAATTAAGGGAGTATGAATCATCAATTTTACAAACAGAGTACCGTAAGTGTCACGATGTTACACCACTTAATTTATTTGATTGTATGTGTAAAATTTAAAAATTATATATTTAAAAAATTACATAAAAAATTCCATAAAACGAGAGGTGAGATGAATATATATTTTTTTTATCAAATACTCCTTAACTAATAAAAATAGGTAAAAAAAGTTTTTGGAGTAATAATACAAGGGAATAATTAGGATTCTCAATGTGAGAAAAATAGGTAAAGAAAGTGTTTGGAGTAATAATACAAGGGAATAATTAGGATTCTCAATGTGAGAAAAATATGTAAAGAAAGTTTTTTCAATCTATTTTATTTAAATATTGGTATAGAAATAAAAAATAAAACATACATATTTAAAAACTACATCAAAAGTTTAACAAAACAAGTGGTGACAAGAATATTTTATTTTACCTCGTCACCTCTAGTTTTGTAGAATTTTTCATGTAGTTTATTACTATATAAATTTTAAAATTACTATATTCATGTAGAATATTTTAAAATTACTACGGAGTATAATCTTGTCACCTCTAGTTTTGTAGAATATTTCATGTAGTTTATTACTATATAAATTTTATTTTAAAATTTTACTCCTATAATCAATTAAATTGAATTAAAAATAAAATCAGTAAAGCCTCGTAACGCGTAATTGGAAGATTTTAGGTGTAAGGAGGGAGTACTCCATATTATTTATGGCTAAGCATGATTTGTGGAGAGAGCCGTATGGATGCATGGCGCACCTCACGGAGATTTTTGTGTCCATTCCTTGTTAATACGGAGTACTTGTTACCTATTTTATACTCCGTAGCAATTTTATGTATGGTAGATGTATAAAATTAATAGGTTTCCTTTGTAATTAGAGGCTATATATGTGGT